CATCATCAACTGCTGACTCCTCATTGTTTCTTCTTCAAAGGCCTGAGGTTACTATGTACTTGTTGGTCTATGTAGATGATATCATTTTGGTCAGCTCCTCTCAGTCGGCTGCTACTGCGCTTGTTCGCTCACTTGGTGCTGATTTTGCGGTCAAGGACCTTGGGAAGCTTCATTACTTTCTTGGTGTGGAGGTTACTTCTCGTGCTGCTGGCCTTGTTATGACGTAGAAGAAGTACTCTCTGGATTTGTTGCAGCGAGCTGGGATGCTTAAGTGCAAACCGACGACTACACCCATGTCTACCACTGATAAGCTCAATGCTGTTGATGGTGTGCTTCTTTCTTCTTCTGATGCGACAGAGTACATGAGTATTGTTGGTGGGCTTTTAGTACTTGACGATCACGCGATCAGACATTTCCTATGCTGTTAACCGAGTCTGCCAGTATCTGCAGTCACCCCGTGACACTCATTGGTCTGCTGTTAAGCGGATTTTGCGCTATATTCGTTTCACGGTGGCTCATGGTTTGCATATTCGGCCGTCTGACTCTGGTTGTCTTTCAGCATATTCTGATGCAGACTGGGCTGGCAATCCGGATGACAGGCGATCCACGGGGGGTTATGCTGTCTTCTTTGGCTCTAACCTGATTGCCTGGAGTGCTCGGAAACAGGCTACTGTCTCACGTAGCAGTACTGAGGCTGAGTATAAGGCTGTGGCCAATGCCACATCAGAGATCATCTGGGTACAGTCCTTGCTTCAGGAGTTAAGTATACCCCAATCACAGCCTCCTGTTCTTTGGTGTGATAACATCGGTGCTACATACCTTTCTGCAAATCCGGTATTCCATGCCCGAACGAAACACATTGAAGTTGACTATCACTTTGTGCGTGAACGTGTCTCTCAGAAGCAACTACAGATCAAGTTTATTTCTTCCAAGGATCAACTTGCTGACATCTTCACCAAGCCATTGCCTTTGCCACAGTTTGAGACTTGCAGGCGCAATCTTACCCTTCTAGATTCATTAGAAAGTGGCTAAGATTGAGGGAGGGTGTTAGACTGTATTTACATGTGTATATTGTAACGTTGTATACCACCTCATTATATATATATGTGATAAGCCACCCCTAGAGGGTTGTGCCGGTTTCCCCCAAAGCTTATTGTCTTACACACCTTAATAAGTCATGCATGTTTGCCATGCAACTCATCCTCATAATATCATTATCCTACCAATTTTAGCATGTCTTACTGCTGCAATGAGAGAGTTATATTCTTCTTTTTTGCAGGAAAAGAGAGATAGTTATCTTCTAGTATACCAAGATAGTTGATTCTCACTACTTCTATTTTTCTCAATATGCACACATGCCACCTTATCACACATGTCACCTCATTAATTATTATCGTCTTCCTATTTTTTCAGTTGCATGTTCCAGCTCACTATCAGGGGCGGACCAAGAGGGAAAATGACCCAGTGTCCCAGTGTTAAAGAAGACACATTTTCCATCTAATGATAGGGTGTCACACACTACACTATACATGAAACTTACCAAGGAAAATTTAGAAGGTTGAGTTGCACCTAACACCATAACACGATGTCTTTATTAGAAAGACATCAGATAGATAAAATGTATATGGGCTAAACCTGGACATCTTGCTTTGCAAACTCAAAAAAGATATATTTAAATTATATGGTGCACATGCATAAATCCTCAGACATAAACATAGTTATGTAAATAATATTTTCTTTGCTTCAGTTCAAGCATCTTAATCATAAAACACTCTGGGGCATCAATCCGCACAACCAACCAACACTACATGCATTTTGCAAATTTACAATCTCAAAACAATAGATCACAAGTTAGTCAGTCATGCACAATAGTACCGACCAAATCTTGAACAAGAACAAGAATGACACCGGCCTGTATTCCTGAGAGATAAAATCAATGGATTAAGTACAAAGGTTTAGGGATTGTTTGGTTCTAGACCTAGGAATGCCACACTAAATATTTTTGGCAAACCTGCCTGAGGTTAGTTTCATAAATTTGGAGCCACAAGTTGGCAAGCATAATACAATCTTGCCACATCTTTTGAGTGTATGCGACATGGGGTCTTAGTGTGGCAAAAAGCATCTTGCCTATGATGTGTCTTAAACCAAACTTCCATCTAAGTTGGTAAAAGTTTCCTAACCTTAGATGTGACAACCTTAAACAAATTTAGTCTCAAACCAGATAGCCTCTTAGTCTTTTCCTCTGCCTACTAAGATGTTTTAGTTCGACTTAATCTCAGACATGAAAACATGTACATTTAGACAAGAGCAAAATTGCCTCGCTACTTATGAATGACTACCTAGATGGATGGTACTCCTGCTTCCTAGGAATTCTTCAGGGTATCTAATCGGTGGCCACTTGTGGGTGCTCGGTCAATACAACGGGCAAGCAGTGGCCCGTACGCCTAGACACATATGCATGCAACCAATTTTGCATCCACCACACAACACCCGTGAAGCTCTCGTGGCCTCACACCGTCTTCATACGCCATCTCCTATTTAGAGCAATGACCACCTTCATAAGCCTCCAGGTGAAGCATCTCATTGGATTCATGAATCATCCCTCAACCACTTTCTTAGGTTCGATGGCCAAGATCACGAGCATCTCAGTTGCGCTATTCCTCGTGCGGCGGTGTGCATTCATGTACGAACGGGGTGCAACTCATGCAATGGGACGATCAAACGGCCTCGTTGAAGGCTGTTTCCATTAACCGCAAACTTGTCAGCGGTTGCGCTGATCCTTGTTGTCGTCGCGGCTGTGCCTGGTGGTAAGTTTGCGGTATGGAAGAAGCCTTCAACGAGGACCCTCGTCCCACAGCATGGGTTGCACCCGATTCATCCATGAATGCACATGACCTGTAGAAAAATAGAGACTGACGAATATCTTCTTTACAGATAAATGGAGAATGACGAACATCTTCTTTGCAGGAAAGCAGAATGAACGACGAATATCTTGGCATAAAAAAAAGGGGGAGAGGCGACTATATACGTTGGAAGAACAAAAGGAAGAGTGGTGAATAAATCAGTACACTCAAGAATGCCGACGAACAAGGTATGTAGAGACGCACCATCCTGACTGACTGGATGATGCTCCTGCATCATTCAGTATCGTCGAACCGAGACAATAGATCTGGCCCTCAAGCATGCATCTTGCCACCCACTTGTACATTGATTTAAGTAGGCTTTTATTTTTACATGCTGGATGAGCATATGCGAATCTCATCCAGATATAGTTTGATCTGAACCTAATTGGTCAACGGTGACAGATGTACAATAACATTTAGATGAGACAGGGATGAAGGGCTAATTTAGCACAGAACTCGGCTTTTGTTTTCTTTTTTGCACAAGCACATGAAATCTGCAAATACGTATATTATATGAACATTTCCATGTGTGAACTATCTTTCTGAAACTTCATAAACTGAAAAAAAGAAAGTGTTCTACATATCTGAAAGTACCCCATTTCAGATCAAAATCCAATTTATTTATTTATTTGTGAAAAGGACCAAAATACAAATTGGGTCAATAACCAAGATTGCGCTGTCCTACTTTGCAGGAAATAAAACCAGCAGTGGTCTTGAGAGAAAATAAGGGCAATCACACCTACGTTAATACCTGTCCTGACATATTTCAGCACACAAACTTGCACCAGCCCTTCTTTGCATGCAGTTGCAGCTCAACTACCGAAACAGACATCGAAGGCGGGATCAGGGCACAGCTTCATCTTTGGGCCTCCCTGCATACACTGCAATAGAAGAAATAGCAGATTCATTCAGCATTATTTGTTATTTTCAAAGAAGAGGTCAGTCCTACACCTTGATATCAATGCGTGCAGACTGGCTGGTAGAAAATAGACCAGGGAGATCAAGGAGAAGGCGTCGCCTTCAGGTTTGCGATGAAGATGGTGTCTCGTCGCCGCAGACTGCCCGGCAATGATGAAGCTCACCACCAGGACGGTCAATCGTCAACCAGCTGGTGGCCTCGACCTGAAGAGTCTATTGTTGATACACCTGTAATGTATTGTACTGTCATTCACCAGACCAAAAAAGCAGCATCTTCCATAGGCAACTGGCAGAGGCAAGGCCAAGGAAAACCCGAGCCCGTTTTTCATATCATCCAAAACAGGAGCAAAAGCAGACATTCAACCTGCTCTGCCACAGGATAATTCACAAAACAATGCAATTGCAATACACATAGTCAGCATATATTTGTTTCAACCGAAATAATCCAACACCGACTAACAAAAAAGACATCGAAGGTGGGATCAGGGCAGTGCTTCATCCATTGGGCCTCCCTACATATATATACACTGCAACAGAAGAAACAGCAGAACCATTCAGCATTGTACCTTTTCTGGAGAGGAAAGTTCAGTATGGCACCCTTGATATCGATGCACGCAATCTCACCGGAAGGAGACCAAGGAGATCAGCGAGAAGGTGTCGTCTTCAGGTTTGCGATGGAGATGGTGAACTCATCGCCGCCGACTGCCTGGCAATGATGAGCTATTTTGATTCACCTGTAATGTACTGTACTATCATTCACCAGACAAAAAAACAGCATCTTCCATAGACAATCTGGCAGAGGTAAGGCCAAGGAACAGGGGATGCACCACCCCTGATTAACTGGTGCTCATTACTATTATGCGATCTGGTTCAGTAGTATTATATATATATCATATATGCAGGTACAATCCGAAAAGACAAGGTTTCTCGAAATTCTCGAGCCAATTCTCTCATGAGATCGACAGTCAGAAAGGACCATGAGTCGACAACTGCACTGTAATGTTGGTTGATACATAACCACCATCATGTACTCTACATGCATCTAAAAGCTATACATTCATCGTCGTCATCGTTGTCATCGTCATCTTCATCATCCTAGTAGAGGAGTCAGGGCTTGTCATGTCATCCATCGAAAGAAAACATGGAGATGAGGAGGACCGAGACGAGTCATCAGCTAAGCTAGACAAGTGTGGAGTTTGGAGGGGTGATGCCCATCATCTTGTAGTAGGCCTTCTCGGCATCCGCCAACCTCGTCTGGAACATGCCCCACTCCTTCCGGCACCGCGCCCTCACCCCTTCCCATGCCGGCTTCCCGCCCTCCGCCTTGCCCTGCCAAATTCAACACTCATACAAATCAGCAGATTGGCCTCAATGCCATGCTACCTGATACGCGAAGTATCTGTAGTGAATAATTACCTGGTTCCCAAGAGAAGGAACCACCTGGTGAACGATCCACTGGGAATCGACGACTCCGATCTTCTCATGAGCAGGCTGTGAACGAAGACCAAAACAATTCAGTAAAGATATATGCTGCTGAAATTTCACGACGAATTTAAAGAAAGAGAGATAAATATACCTCTACGCATTTCCTGAGGGCGAAGTCGAGACCCCATCCATGAACCAAATCATTCTGCATTCAGGAGAGGCACCAATGAGTAAAGACGGATAAAGTCCATATAGGACGGCAGGCACTAGCCAGTAACGTATACTGACCTGAATCATATGCCATACGCATCGCCATGCCTCCCTTGAGAAGACTGGAGCCATTATTTCAACAAACCTGTTTTACAGCAAAACATAAATCAAGTAATTAGCAACAGAGACGCGTCAGTTAGATCTCTCTAATAGTATAGATGTGGATCGAACTCAGAAAAGAGGTAATAAGCACATACGCAGCACAAGGTGGAAGATGAGGGTCAGCACACCAGCCTGGCCTTTCCTCTGTCACCCTGCAACAACACAAGTTGCCAGCTCAAGTTACTACATCAGAACAAAGAAATCTATTTCTTTGCTTTCTTTCAGACTGTAAATGCACCACTCACTTGTGGACCTCTCGGTCACCTCTTCTTTTGGTCATCTGCCAAGTTAGTCCTCGGTCAGGTTCTAAGCCAGGCTGGGAGATATCCAGACCATTTTTCTTAACAAGTTTGATGTACCTGTAATCCAACACCAATATGTATATGTCAGTTCTCATATCAAGAAAAAATGTCTGGAGAACTGAAGAGTGGAGGCATACTCCTCTGCGTTGAAATGATCGACCCCAAGGTCTTCATCCCAGATGAATATGTACTCGTAAGCTGCCACAATATCAGGGTGCAAGAATCTTTTGGCGTACCACCTAGAGGTACGTGCATAAAGAAGCGTTAGAAGAAGATTGATTTCAAATTACAATCAGAGGAACAGCCAGCACATTGCAGCACAGTAGCGCACCATTTAGTTTGTTTGCTGACACTGATATGGATGGCTCGCTTTGACCACTCAAATTCATCCCATTCGGTCACACGACCATCATAGTGGAATAACAGGATAGCAAAATTGTCAGAAAACTGCAACAAATAAGAAGAGAAAACAATCAGGATGGTAATCAAGTGAAATGGCATGCATTGATAAGAAAATTCAGTTTCTACTGAAACTGCACAGAGCTAAATTTTTGGTTATTCTGCTCAATAAAGTTGACAACAGCATTACCTTCTTCACTGCTCTGTTTATATTTTCTTTCTGTGCATATCCAACAGTGAAAGTCACAAGGTACTTTGGTTTGAATGGCAGGTCCTGCATATTTGAGATCAAATATCAGCACACCAAGCACCAGACGGTAGAAGGGTACAGAATTTAGGACTTCTGATTTGAATTAGTTCAAGACATAACATGTGAGTTGTGAGCACTGGTTGTGAGGTACTAAGTTTCTAACTTAATAACAATGGAGATGAACATGAAGAGCCACAAAGTATAACATTAATTTCAATCTCAACAGTGCATGACGTTTTGATCTTAAAGAGAGAACTGGCTTAAAGATAACGCACACATGCTTGTAAATCTGAATATTCGACACAGAGATGGGAATGCAAGATATTTCTCAAGATGTTCAGTTATAAATAGTTCCATTGAACTGGATATCAGTTAGGTGATGTGAGTATTCTGCCCAAGAAAATGTACCTCACTTGGGTCTCCCCACAATCTGCGCAGATGGAAGTCGGTATCTGGCACAACAATGCCTGGTGCTAGCCTCTCTGCACCCCTGGGGTTTGTCGGGACATAAATCTATGATTCATAAGCAAATACTTTGTTTTAGTGGACAAAATCTAGTAGAGGTGAACATTGATCAGGAATGGATGTGATCAATGTAAATGGTTAATCTATGCACACCGATTATTCAAGCAGAATGTTTTGCCAAATGGACGCCATATCAAATACTTTACAAACTAAACTACTCCCTCCGTTCCGAATTACTTGTCTTGGATTTGTCTAGATACGGATGTATCTAGACTCATTTTAGTGCTAGATACCTCCGTATCTAGACAAATCTAAGACAAGTAATTCGGAACGGAGGGAGTAGCATTCTGTCACAATGTCAAAATTAACAAGTCATAGAAGAAAACCTTTAAAGTAGTGTTTGTATTTGGTTCGGAAGTGTTCTCCCTTGCATTCCTGACAGAATTCCAGGCATGATTAAGTAAAGCTTGGGTCGTGAGCCCAGAGTTCCTCTCCTCTATGTACGAAACAAAGCTGGATGGGAAGTGTAGCTGGCACATTCCAAACACAAATAAGTTACTCTGTTCCGTTGAACCAAAACAATGCGGTTACACTGAGAAAAAAAAACATCATTACTACCTTTGTTATGCTGACCGACGGGAATGAAATTCCAATGAAGAAGCCAAGGACCACTCCGATAACAGTTACCATAACAATCCTCATGGTTTCGTTCGTAAATCTAAACACGCTGCGAGCATTGACATGCCACGCAAAGAGCAAATGGGGAAATATTAACTGCAGGGGAAGCGTATAGCCAATTCAAATCAGAAGTAGAGAGCGAAAAAGGTACACACCTGCGACTGACAGCTGGGAATTTCGCCATGATCCAGTACAAGAACGCAACCACAGGGGGTGGACACTTGCGAGCGAGGACTGCTACTCCTCGTCCACAGAGATCATGCTGATGGAGATGCGCCGCACCATACGCAGAACAAAATCAAAACCTGTAGGAAACACAATGGCAAACCCATGGTGAGAGACCCCGAGAAGTACAAGCAAGTGACATTGCATATTTGCATGACCTGTGCATGATGAAGTAATGACCAACCAGAACATATTATTTTCTTTTTTCAAGATTGACCCACAAGACACTGACAGTTTGCAATTGTAATATGGTTCAACACCTCAAAAGCATCAAACAATGCAATGTTTTCATGATGAATGGACGGCCAACAAGTGGTAAGTGGTAGTTTAAATTTTTGCCTGCAGCTAAGTTGAGAAACCTGCCTCTCTGGCTTATGCATGATGAACAAATGACCAACCAGAACATATTCTTTTCTTTTTTTGAGATTGACAGCCAGAACAAATTCTTTTCTTTCTTTCAAGATTGACAACCAGAACATATTCTAATGCCCCCCCAAGACGCTGACATTTTGAATTTGTTCAACCTCAAAAGCATTGAACAACACGATATTTCGCGATGAATGGAGGGCTAATAAGTCGTAGAGTAGTTTAAATTTTGCCTGCAGTTAACTTGAGAAACCTGCGTCTCTGACTTACTATGCATGATGAACTAATGACCAACCAGAATACATTGCAGTGACCCACAAGACGCTGACAGCTTGCAATTGTTCAACCTCAGAAGTATCGAACATCACAACCTGTAGTAACAGTAGTTTAAATTTAGCCTACAGTCAACTTGAGAGACCTGCCTCTATGCACCGGGATTGATTACTCCTGCTGATTAACTAAGACTTAGAGTTGAAAAGTCCAAGCATGCTTACGGAGGATTCAACTCCTAAACTATAAACTAAATCTTTTCTTAAACAAACAATAAATAGTGATAAATATATTGACTGAACATCCAATTAGTAGTAGCAATCCAGGTCCCCATCCTCTGAAATCCAATCCCCAAATCCAACCAATTGCACCTACCTACCTAAAAGCATGCTTTTCAGAGAAGAAGAAGAAGAAGAAAAAAAAGCATATTTTTTGCTACTCGAAAAGGGTTGGGGAAAGAGAGGAACCTGTGCGCGCACCTACCTAGAATCAGAGGCGGTGGCGGAAGCTGAACCACTGGGACGGAGCCGATCCCCCTCGCCTCCGGCGCGGCCGCTGAGCTTGGCAAGACAGACGGGATCGCCGCCCACGGCGATGGCCCCCCGGATCGAGTGCACCGGCGCCGGAACCCGCGACGAATCCCGCCTCAACCCCACCAACCAAACCAAGAAAGCAAGCAGCTTCGCGGCGCGCGGCGGGCGGAGCAGCTAGGAAAGTAGGCGGTGCGGCACGAGGTTGTGGCCGGCGCGTATATGTAGGGGCGGAGGTGGGTGGAGGGGGCGGAAGTCGTGGGGCGCGGCAACGGCGCGCGACGGCGAGAGGGGAGGCGGAGTCCAACCAACCGCACAAACAGAAGCACCCAAGCCAAGCAGGGGAAAGGGAAGCAGAGGAAAGGAAGTTTCACTGTTCCCTCCCCTCCCACTCCGGGCGAGGCGACGACGTCGTGGACGTGGACGCGACGCCGGTTGCGGTGCGGCCCACGCGCGCGCGGCGGCCGATCCGGCAGCGCACGGCCGGGATGCGTGGACGAATGGGCGCGCGCGCGGGGGTAGGCCACGTGCACCAACCGCCGTCCGAGCTGTGCGCTGTCCCCTCCCGCGACGGACAGGAGAAAATGGCAGCCACCTACCAAGCTGCCATGCCCACGTCTCCCACCAAGAGAAAGATTTTCATGTAGTATTTGTGCAAGATTTAGAGACGTTTAATCAAAAAAGACTTGGGCATGCCTGCATTACTCCTAGATTTCCATTCTCCGTCGTCTACACCACACGGCAGCAACGTACTCTACTGCTCAAAGCAAAAACATATCTTCACTGCATCTTCCAAATGCAGAGGCCCGGGGTCATCCTTCTTTAAAAAAAAAAATGTTTGAAGACCGACTCCACATGTCATATAAAAGGAATACTAGAACGTCACATAATACTGAGTAGATTACAACAAGCCGACGCCTCCTTTTGCTGCCTCGCCGAAGTTTTTCAACACCTACATTGACTTGCTATTATATACTCCCTCCATTCTAAATTACTTGTCGCGAAAATGAATGTATGTAGATGCGTTTTTAGTTATAGATACATCCATTTATGCCCTCTAAAGTTGATCACATGGTTCTAGACTCGAGGATGGACTCGATTCCCACAAAACGCGCACCAGGATTTTGAAAAGTGATCATATATTATGGGACGGAGGGAGTACCGAGTATATATTTCTTTAGGTAAAAAAAATATACTGAGTTTTTTTAGACAAAAAAAAAGATGCTGAGTAGTACTCCACTTTTGACCACTGCGCATGACCTTTTCTCGTCATTTATGTGCGCGCGTTGAGCAGGTCGCGCGATGGACCGACAAACAGTTTGAGGCGATCTGGGCCGGTCTGACCAGGTCATGCCTTAGTCAACTCCCAGCCGCTGGCCCTGAGCCCAGCCCAGTATGCGCGCTAAACTTGTGAAGGAAACCTCCTAAACAGCGCTTGCGGCGCCAGCAACCCAGCTGGCGCTCACGCGCACGCGACAAAAATAATTGACCAGTTAAACAGTCGACCGGTTGACTGTTGATTTTTTGAAGAAGTCAAAAAAAAATAAAAATCATGAGTTTGATTTTTTTTAGCAAATTTGAAACTAGTTAGCGGCTACAAAAATGCTCATGAATTCTAAAATATATCAAAAGTTTAAACAAAGTTCAAAAAATTGAAGAAAAAAGTTCAAAACTTGGAAATGTTAACCATTTGAAAAGAAGTTTGCAAAAATAAAAAAGAGTTGACAAATATGAAAAGATAACGAAAAATTGAAAGAGCTTCACGAATTTTGAAAAAACGTTCATGAATTTGAGTAAAAAGTTCAAGAATTTGCAAAAAACAAATTCGAATTTGAAAAATTTGCACACATTTGGAAAAAGAAATAGAAAAGCAAAGTATTAAAAAGAAAAAACTAAACAAAACCAGGTAAGGCGGTATAAGCG